AGAGTCAAATCTGACATTTTGTAGGTATTATTTTGCAATATAATATAACATATCATGTCTGGATGATTTAACACATTAACTTGCATATAAAATACAATGAAACTGTAAACAGTGTTTTAAAGAACATTTTGCTGTTATATTGTTTGAATGATTTTTCTCTTTTGTAAAAAGATATTCATTTAGTTGTTGTGGACTGTTGGATCAAATAGACATGGACTAGTTTATTTTCTTTTACTTCTTTTCTGCATGAACAACAACTGAAACAGTCATAGTGATAAGAAAAAAAACAAACTTCAAAAATAATGTCAACAGTAGGATGCTTCTGAAAAACAGTTTAATTATTTATTTTATTAACAGTATACAGTTATTGAACTTTCATTTATCATATGAGTTTCTTAACAAGATGATTATCTTTAAAGAAAACAACACGTGTATGATGTAAGCTATATGTAGTACAAGGAGTAATGTCAATGTTTGATATGAACCTAACATTGAGTTAAATAATTTGTTAGTGTACTGTATTATGAAGATTATCGGATTTATAAATTTATTTCACTAAATGTCTTTAGTATGAAAATTAATGGAAATTATGAATGATTCAACAGTGCTCAGTCAAGATTCTAGCAGTACCTTAAGAGCCCGAAGCGACCACTGAACCTTCAAACCAGTGGGCCATTATGGTGAGACTATAATTTAAGGACGAATCAATCAGGAATTAAGTTACAGGTCGCGGATTTCGGCTCGAAATTCACTCAGCCATTTGGATAAATAGGGTTTTGACATTATAGCTGATGTCAGTTTGTGATGAAAACCCGGAATCTAATTCCTAACCCTAACTATCAACTGTAAATCGTCATTCTAGTTCCTCACACTTGTTTATAACCCTCATTTGATCCTAGTTATTAAATGAACACTCTCAAGATCACTTTAGCGTCACTCAAAGGTCGTCCATAAATTATAGTTTCACCGTTGACGGTTTTAATTAGATTTTATGAAGCTTTGAATATGAAGGTTTTCAATTAGGACTCTGTTTTCATTCATCACGGAAGTATAGGCGTAGGAGTAATAGTAATATACAATGTTATTTGATCGCTATTGCTAAAAAGCGTTGTATTTGTGTGTACTAACAGAACTATGTAGATTCCTTTGGATGAAATGAGTCTAGAATGCTATACATGAAATCCTTGGTATAGGAAATCGCATATACATCAAACTTTCTTGTTTCAGTTCACCAACCATAATTAGATAACTTGCTGACACTTTAGGTTTCCAATCTTCTCTATGTAAGTAGTATTTTTATAGTTGATAATGTGGTGTGTGCTACTTATATTGACATAGGTAGTAAATGATGTTAGTCGTGAACAGAATGTCTGGCAACAGAGAGACAAGAGGATCGAACGGTGAAGAATGGAAACACAATGCAATTTGTATGAAAATGCAAGAACAATGAAGTCTGAGTCATTACGAGACTACTGATGGACATTTTGCAAATTACGTATTTACTATTTGATTTTATGAACGAGTCCTGTAATTTTGTGTCAAATACACTCAGTTGTCCCCACTCGTGTTCTGTTCACTACAATAATAGGTACTAGCAGAAGCTTTAGTTAGTGAGAATAGAAACATAGTTTAAAATACTTCTATAGTTTACTAGTGGTGAGGAAGTAAAAGCAATGTTTTAGAGTACTAAATAATGTGGACAGTGCAGCTGTTGTTTAAATTAAGGGTCATGAATGTTGTTTAGAATGACAATAAAGCATTTGTCATGTGACTAAAATAGAAAACAGAATTTAAAATATATTCGATCAGTGGTAGACTAATGAGCGAGCATTTCTTAAAAGATGCCCTAGAAGGATGAGAAAATTGTCCATGGGTTTCCAGTTTCAATATTATTCCAAATAAAGTCAATTTATGATGAATACCATCTAAAATATAACCAATTTCGTTAAAGTTTCAAAATAAATGGCTTATTTTACTAATAAACTGTGATATTCCTATAAATTTTCATCAGTAAATTGATATGACTAACTATTCACATCCAGCATTTTTATTATTATTTCCGTTTACTTTAAACTAAACGTCATTACTTCACTTGGTGTTGTTTTGCTTGTAACGTCCAATTCTTATTTAGGACTGCAATTGATCAGTCTCTTGTTGACATATGTACATCACGTGCGGATTCCCTCGATATAGCCTTAAGTCGCGAGCGTTATAAGTAAAGATAGATAGTAGCTAGCAGTGGAATCCAGGACACGCATTTCCTCAGATGGATGTACCTGCATCGCAGAGTTGATGTTCACTTCGGGACTCAAACCTAGTGCCGTTCGCTTCAAACGCCGTCGCGTTGTTCACATAGCTGCAAGTACATCCAGCTGGCGAGTCCCGAATAGGTTGAGACGCGCGTCGTGGATTTCACTGCTAACCACTATCCATCTTTGCTTAAATGTCATTGCTGCTAAGATTTAATAATGAGTTTATTAATCATCAATGCAATGAGATTACATAGATTCCGGCAAATGTCCATAGTTCGTAGATAACTTGGTTACATACTGATTACAACTGGAAAAACTTCTGAAAACCATGTGATGTCAGCATATGACAATGTTTATCTTCATGCTGTATACAAAAGTTATAAATAACACATAAATGATGTGGGTTTAATGAGTGAAAGTGCAATAAATTTTCGCAAAAATCTATTGTTTATATGCCTGTCCTAGAATATGATAAGAATGTTTGAGCATAGTCATATAATTCTCATATTTGAACCTATTTCATCATCCACCGGTGAAAATAAAATATTTAAACACCAGGTGAATGGGATTATTCCAGTCAATGATTTTGATATCAATATAGTGAGCTCGTTGAATTGTTTCACCACAGAAAGTGGAAGATGATCCTTGAACATCGCTAAATGATTGAAGTCAGACATATACACCACTGGATGTTGACTCAGTGGTCTAGAAGTTAAGCGCTACCTAAGAGACTGAATATCCTCGATTTGAACAATAATGAATAGACATATACCAGGCAGGATAAAACAACTATCTGATGACTCCTTCATGATATAAACCATGAAAATTGTAATTCTCTTTGACGTTTGATTTATTTTTGTTATGCGGCAACTGTATTTATTTCTGTATGAATCTTATCAAAGTTAACTAATAACCTGAGACTGATTATCACTAAATACTATATGTTTATTGAGCATTTTAATCGATTTAACTAATTCCTGATATAATTACTGTTTTGATTACTATCATTGATACTATTACTACTCTAATATGATTAAGCACTCAATGATAAGATTACCTTAGTTTTGGTTAATTTAGATAGTTCATTATGAGTATGATATCAATTTGTGCTCTATTTCTATATGGGTAGTTCCTTGATTTGTTATTTTCATTGCTTTATAAAAAAACTAATCACAAAATTTTTTTCTCACATCTCAGGATAACACTTTTTTTCTTTAATCATTAGTTTTCTGTGTGACAAAGCTCCTACTATTTTCACTAGTCAAAATGAGTTGATTGCCTTTATGAAATCTTCGATTTTCTGATGGTTGATTGATTATAAAAATGTTTTGAATTCAGCACATCCTAGTCAGTAATAGATCAGATGAAGCATAGAACATGGTTCATCAAAGTTTGGGCAAAAAGTAGAACGTCGAAAAAGCTTTATTATCAATTTAAAATTTTTTGAATTTTCAGTGAAAACAAGTTTGTAACTAGATTAAACTGTAATACGTAACTGAAGAGAGTTCATTAAAGATGTCCAGACAACAGTCCTTTGTTTGATCTACATCATACTACTTACTATTAAACCATACATCATCATTACTTTCCATAGGTAATCAGTAAGCTATTTCCTTTGTTTCAATTAGCTCATTAATAATCATATAATTGATAGGCATATTTGAATATACAAAGTAGTTAAATGTCATCTTACAAATTTAAAAAGTCAGTCCTACTCAATAAGTACTATATGTAGCATGAGATACTGTTTTTCTTTCATACTGCTAAAAAAATTCAATTTGTAGACATTAAATTATAAAACTCTACTAAAGTAGTCATTTTATATTTACGTCCAGTGCTTTTGTGGGAGAGAACAAACCAGATTCCAGAGGAAGAAGAAATTAGGAAGAAGCGCTGGAAGTGGATTGGACACACATTGTGGAAAGCACCCAACTGCGTCACAAGGCAAGCCTTCACATGGAAACCTCCAGACCGAACGAAAAGAGGTAGACCAAAGAACACATTACGCCGAAAAATGGGGACAGATATGCCAACAAAACACTGATCAATTGAAGTCCTAAATAACAATGGAGAGATACAAGTAAAACAAGATCAAGTAAATTTCAACTTCAGCACAGTGCACAAGCAGATGGCTATCAGGAATGATTAGATAAGTGGATAACGCAATGGTGTTTGAAGTGAACGGTACTGATTTCGAGTCACTGAGTGAACATCAACTCTGGGATGTAGGTACATCCATCTGACGAGTCGTAAATAGAACGAAACACGCGTCCTTGATTCCACTGCTAGCCGCTATCCATCTTTGCTTAAAAATTCATTTATGTGTTTTCAAATTCTTGTGCTTTTCCCAGTTTATTTTCTTTCATATAAAATAAATGATTTGACCTTAGCTCTAGAATCTGACGATCAACATGTACAATTACGGTGATTTTCCCGGTCACAAAGCAAAAAGAAAGATTTTCCACACACTAAGTGTATATTCACGAAGATGAATACAAATAAACCAATCGAATTGTATCTTCCCATTTTTTCTCACTTTTGTTATTTTTGTTTATTACTTAAATATACAAAGTATATTACTTAAATGGATGATTTTTAGGCAAATCATAATTGTTACCAACTGTTTAACCAATCAAAATGTTAACTGTATAATAAAAATGACTTGTCTATTGTTTTTGTCTTCTTTTGAAATATGCAAAATTTAACATAAAAGACGAATAATAATCTTTTTTTTTCTATTTTGTTCCTGGAAATAACCGGGAATCTAGCACAAATTATTGACTAAATATGTAAAGTAATTGATAACAAATTACATAATAAGTCAGAATTTCTATTTAATAATATGGATGATGATCAAATAATCACTGTTGAATGTTCACAATCATTAGATTCTATAATAAAACATAATTCAAATGAGAAAGATGTAAAATCTCTTCATGATTGTGTTGAATTAAGTACAATTAAATCTTCAAGTATAAATATTACATATGAAGAAAGTAAATTATCAACTTCGATCTCTTCTTCTATACCTTCATCAAATCCAACTATTGTTGAACCTGTAACAACACCACTACCACCACCACCACTAACAACAACAACAAAACCATCTATATCACAAGATTCTAGTTATAGTTTATTGAATAGTTTTAAAAAACGTATTAAACAACATTTAACTTTATCAAGAAATTCTAGTTTACATAAAAGTATGCATGATTTGTCTATATCCCCCAAGAAACTCAATTTTCAATCAACTAATAATAATAATAATAATATAATAAGTTTAAATTCTGCATCAAGTTCCATTTTATCAACGAATGTAAATAAATTAAATTTAACACAAGATGTACCAGATGATATAACATTAATTGAAAATGAACATGATAAAGCATTAATTACTGTAACATCATTCACTAATGAACAATTACTTTTATTACAATCAAGTTGGAGTTTAGTGAAACAATATATTGAAAAAATTGGTGTGATTACATTTCTTGGGTAAGTTATTAATTAAACATACATCATTTCTTAGTTCGATGAAGGAAATAGGTAATTGTTTTGTTTAATTACTTATTCTTTAAAATATAATTAGTCTTTTAACATATCATAGTTATTTTCTTTGGAAGCAATCTTCCAAGGGTTTGAGTAGTCAACTAGATGAATAATATAATTTTTAAAATACATCTTACCAGTTTTACTTTTAATACACTGTTTTACAGCTATTTACGTTTACGTTATCTATTTTAGGGTATGTTGAATAGTAAGAGAATGCTATGCAACAACTTTCCGAACTATAAAAAACTGAAGCGATGAACACTATTTCAATGAGGGCTAATATCACCATAATTATTTTTACTTAATATGAATATTGATCGTAAGGTATAAGAATAAAGTCGAATTTAAGATCGTTTTTTACCAGCATATTTATGAGTTAAGTATATTTTCACATGCCACACACAACTAACAATATCCAACAATATTGTACTTCATGACAGTCCGACACCATCTGTAGATTCACTACTGATTTTGTTATATTTTAGTATGGGGAAATATCATGCTTAGGATATTTGTACGCTTTGCTTTAAGATAGTGGAGATGTAAAGTTATTAGGGAGCATTTTAGTACAATCTCGGTGGTTTAATCGTCAAACATACATTCTTCTTCTGAACAACAATGTTTGCACAAACTTCAGTTAAATGCAAGCTATTCGAAATTCTCCATATAGACTGATGGCCTATTTTATGAACTTTAGTTATAACTGGTTGTCTCAAATAAATAAACAATGACGTGATAAACGTCAGTAGCAACTAATGAAGATCAAAGTTGGTAGAGCAAGTTATCAATCATTTATGTAGAAATGTAAATGGCTCACTTCATTTCGTATTCTTCTTCATTTAGTGTTGTTTTTTTTTCTTGACGATTAACGTGACACATAAATTACAAATGAAACACATAAATTTCACATTCATAAATAACTATCAAGATATTGATTTACTATAACAAATGAAATTACCAATTTTGTTAGAAAAAGTATTTATTTAACTATACTTCCCAATGTTTGTCCAGCTGAAATCAATCATTAATGTAAATTACTTTGAGATGGTGGAGAAGATTTGTAGCTCAGGTGGATGATTTTGTTGGAGTTTTATTCTCTGATCTGGATGGTTTGGTCAGAGAGAATAAAACTCTAGCAAATTACTTTTAATTCTCATACAATCAATAAATATGAATACACTTTCTGAAAACTAACCTCTACAAAAATTGTAGCCGAATCAATGAAAAACTATATCAATATCAGGGCATAAATCATTAGAAAACAACCCCAAATCTTTTGCCAAAAGATGTGTATTTATAGGAAAATCAATAACAATGTTAAGAAAACTGTTGGCGAGACTATAATTTATGGACAAATCAATCACGTATAACATAATAGGTCTCGGATTTTAATGCAAAATTCACTTATCCATTTGGATAAATGGAGTTTTGGCATTATAGCTGATGACAGTTTGTGATGAAAACCCAAAATTTAATTCCTAAACCTAACCATCAACTATAAATCATAATTCAAATCCCCCACAATGTTTCATAACCCTTATATGGTCATAGTTATTAGGTGAATACTCTCAGGGTCAGTCTAGCATCGCTCAAAGGTCATCCATAAATTATAGTATCACCAAACTATTCAAACTATTATTGAAAGGAAATAATAATGAAGAGTACAATTAATATCAATACTTTGTAGTGACCTACTTTTATGAAGAGAACGCGATCGGTATAATGGAAACATGTATTATTATAACTAATTGTACCAGTGATTGTTTTACTGTACCTGTTTGTTGAACGGTACTAAAACCATACATTCTTCCGTTGATTGTGACCTTGCACGAATTCGGTTACGCTCAGTAACCCCACTTGTAACCTGGCACGATCTCGGTATCCTTTCGATACCACGAGATCGTCAACAAATACATCTCGACTACAGCTATCAACTGCCTTCTGATATTTGGCCTAAGGGGGATCTTATCGGTTAACTGGCACGTGGTCTTCCTGTAGTGATGGCCATAGTCAAACGCGACTCGACGCCACACTACAACGTTTATAGCGGTTTTAACAATTCCGATAATTTTTGTCCTTATCAAATAAAGATTGATCTGATTCCTGACATTAGATTTCGAATTAAATGAATGATGTGTATGTAATTTAGAAAGTTGCTATAGGAAGATACAAAAAAATCATTTCTTTCAAACAATTACTTATAAAACTATAAATAAATCAAGATATTAACTGTTTATCACCTGATTATTCATCAATATACGTCATTACTATTCGATTTAGTATAGTATAGTCGGTCTACTTAATATACTACTGAAGTTTATTCAATTTTATATTTAGAAAGAATCATATTGAATTAGTTATTAAGTTTTTTACAATCAAATCTAACAAAATCTCATATATTATGACTCACTCTTCGTTTGTTACTTACGGAATAGAGATCGTTCAGATTGATAAATTAAATTTTTTCATGTTTACAACCTCACCAATTTTTATTGAGATCATAGACTGATCAACTTTAGACTTCTATTGAAAACCTGGTAGTACTTCAAGGGTATTTCATTCTGGTATGGGACTCCTCACCACTTCATAGTCACGGTCCTGCACACGGGACTAAAATCCAGGAACTTCGACCACTCGCTTACAAGATAAATCAACTGAGTAACAAAAAATGAGTTTCTTTGGATAGTTGAGATCATGAGTCAATTGAAGCTAAACTGCCATGAAAATCTGCAAGCACTGGATGGCTATTTCGTCCTAATGTGGGTCTTCTCAGCATTGCACATCCACGATCTCGCCTCGCAGAACCTATCAGTCTCGCGTGCAAACGCTTAACATCTACAGCACTGACCTGGCAGGTGTTAATGTCTAACTTCAACTAATCTAGTGCTTCCAGATTTTTCATGGTGGTCTAACTTCAAATGACTCATGATCTCAGGTACTAAAATTAATGTAATATCCACACAACCCCTTCTGATAAAACGAGTTGTTTTATTTTGTGAAATTACACATTTTCCTTACAAAAAAACACTCGACTTTCTTTTGGTATAGTATTATTAGCTAGAAATGTTCTCCATTGTGTATAAACGTTCAGTGTCATATCTTTTTATGAATATGTAAGAACACTTAATATGTCAACTATTTCTAGTTGAATGAATATAAATGTCATGAATGAACATTAAAGGTGAAGGTAATTGTTTCAGTGATGTTTTACAGGAAACGGAATAATATCATTTGATTCAGTTCATTCTAAATGAACCCGAATTTTAAATGAAAGAAATGTTTAACCTATACAAATGTATATAAACCTTACACTACTTATTTGTAGATTCTTTTTTTTGATAATCTGATACTGATTAGATTTCTTTATTAGTTATGTTGATTGTTGATTTATTATTTGTTTATTTGAACACATAAATATTAGTACAAAGGTGGCACTGAATAAATATGCACCATAAAATAACTTGGTTTGTGTGTGGGCAGTGATACTGTCCAGGTGCTCAAACCGAAACAGGTGGTCTACTTGGGGGTCACACCCGGAGCCTTCAACATAAAGGTCTAATCTATAAGGCGGTGGAGTAACGTTAAAAGATGCAGCCACATAGTAGCTGTTGACAAATAATTGGTTCATGCGCTATTTGTTTATTCAGGATCCTTGAATACATGTGCACCATTGATTTGGAATGAGGGTTTTTCGACTCCCCTAGGTGAATCCTCCATATCTACTGACCCGGTTAAAGCACCGGATATTCACTTTTCGTCCTGACAAATGTCATAAATTTTACAGGATTTCGATAAATAAATTTGTCATACATTTCACTTTTTGCTTATGCTCAAATTTAAAGGAAGTATACAATTGCTCTACAAATCTACATGTACAATGGATATTTAGAATTAATCAATTATGAACAAAGTGAATACAAACACAAAACTTTAAAAAAAGCCATTGAAAGAATATCAGATAGATGTTTGGAAGTAATTTGAAAACCTTTTGAACGATAACAAACCATGAACTCAGTATTAGACTAAAATCAGTTTGTATTTCTATCGTCAGTAAATTCATACTAATACGTATCGACTATTTATTTTCGTTTATCGAGTATCTCTTTTCGGAAAGGATTGAATTTAATCAAAGACACATTCTGCATGGAAATTTAAAATTTATTCTTGATATTATCCACTGTTTAACAAGCAGTAATTGTTTGAATTTGAAAGAAGTATAAGATGAGAGTAATGTAAATCACAGAGTGAATTAGCTGAAACAGCCAATCAAAAGAGGCAACATTAATTACCTTCTCAGTCAGTCAGTGATGGGAACAGTTTTTAAACATTATAATCTTCACAAAACTTTGTTTCTAATGGTGTTCACAGAGGTCCATAGATCTTGGGTAATATGCTTATCTCAGACATCATATATCGTATTTATTTTTATAATAAATATGTTTGAGAGCATTTCAATCTCATCACGCATAAAAACATAAACTAACTGTTTTTACAAAAAAAAATTAGTATCTAAGGGAAACATATGATCATAACGACATAAAAACCTGTTTACAGGATATGGTGTTAGCTCTTTTTATCTTTATATAGGAATTCTTTTTATTTGAGTAATTAATAAATTAAAACAGTAACTGGACTACTAGCAACCAAAATGATTTTTTATTGCAAAGCAATTTAGCGTATAACATTATTTTATCATTTCAACTTTATAAGTAAGATGGCATTTTGACAGACGAGATTCATACAGAAGATATTCGGTATCGTCGTTTCTTTAAAAAAATCATACATTGTAACAAAACAATCGACCAAGGTGAACATTATCATGTGGTCATACGTAAGTAAAAAAATTAAGGTATAACTATGTGAATTTAGATGGTTTATGTTTGAATAATATCGGTCATATAAATGATCGTAATAGACCTGAAACAAATCCAAAGACATGAATC